GAGACTTTCATCTTAAGTGTTTATTTTTGCTCTGATATCCAAAGAGGTTACTCACTTATTTATATACATTAAATATATATGTATGTATGCATATATGTATGTATACACACATAGACACACACACACACTTTAAGTGGTGGATGTAGAGAAAACCAGTAGTGTGGCTAAGAACCAATAGATACTAAAAAAAAAAGATATGCTTGCCCCCTTGCCCCCTTGCCCCCTTGCCGTGAGAATGTTAGAATATTAATGCAGAATAAGGAAAAAGCTGTGTAAGACAGACAAGTTTAAAATGAGCAAATCTGAATACAGTCATCTGGGGGAGACATTTGTCAGAGTATCCACTTGGGTGGGAACACCATTCAGGTTGAGCTTTGCTCACGTGAGCGCTTCGGCCCAGCCTTCTGACTGCCTTTGCTTTTTGTTGGTCTGTCCCGCTAAGAACATGACTCAGATGCACGCTATTGTGGTTGAACTTCTTTACCCCTCCTTTCTTGACATTCCTGGGTCAGGCTGTCTTCACTCAGGACAGGCGTGTTACACAGTGGGGAAAAGTGCAGACTTGAAAATCCGGCCAAATCTTTTGTTGTAGCAGTTTACTGTGGCTCACGATTAAACAGTAAGAGAGTGCTGGTTGGCTGTCTTCCTCTCCTCTGGTACAATTTTTTCCCCCTGAGTTTGGTCATTCATTTTTGCTGTCTTTGGAGTTGTTCAAAAGTTGGATCGTTTCTCTGTTATAAAAATAACACATACATCAGACTTGCAGATAGCTACTAGCCAAGAGGAGAGGCATTTGGGGGTAGGGGTGGGAACCGAGAAGTGAATGCAGATTTTCAATTATTTTATGACTCGTGTCTTAAGGAACAGAGTCGATGGGGGCGGGGGAAAGTGTCATGGGGACTGGCAAATTTACAACATTTATGGATGGGGCTGTATCTCTCAATCTCTCTGTTCTCATCCACACTTCCCTGTGTCTTTTTTTCCATCCCTACCCCTGGGGCAGCTGTCCATTTTCTGGGTAAAGAAAAACGAGAAGGTTGCGCCGGTACCTCTGAGTGTGATTGCTTAGACTGTGGGGTTGGCAGAGTTCTTCAGCCTTTGCCTTGTTATTTTTTGTTTTTTTTTAAGCAAACAAGGTTTCTTATGCAAAATGGGTCACTGGAAAGCACCACAGAGGCTCTCCAGAGTCGTGGCCAGTGCGGGGGCACGGGGAGATGTTAGCATGCCACTGACATATGGAGGTGATCTCTGTTCCTTTGACCAGATTTGGTTTCTACAGAGTGCGTGAGAAGGGAAGATAAATTTTGTCCTAGTAATACTATAGCGACTCATAAATAAATGGTTACCCTTTGGTGCTTGCAGTTTTCATTAAAGCCGCCTGAGCTTTGTTATTGACACCATAGGTTGCCTATTCAGGGAAATGCAGTAAAATTTATCAGTGTGCTTTCTACACCTAATAAATCATCCAAACAGGGAACCATATGGCAGATAAGACCTTGAAAATGTGGCTTCAGCATGTGAGGAGTCAAGTTGCTGAAATCTTGAGTGATTACAGCCTGCACATGTTCCCCTGGAATATCTTACAGTTATTTTACATGCCATTTTCTCGTTCACCCTATCACCTCTTTGTCTCTCTTCTACTCTCATTCTCTTCCCCTCTCTCTCTCTCTCCTTTCAGGCTCTGCTGCTGCTAGCGCCATCCTTTTTGGGCCGTTCTCTTTCTCTTTTGTTTTTCTTTTGGGTGGGTGTGTGGGGGGCAGCTGCGAGTTCAGCTGGAAAATAAGCATCCCGGAGAAGATAAGACGTTTTTATAATGCCTTGCTGGTAGGAAGAAGAGGGGCAGAGAGGAGCAGAGACTGACGGGAAGGGATGATGTATGTGGCGGCTGTGTCCCTACTCTCCTCCAGCCCATTGTCATTAATCATGGCCATTAGTTGTTTTTTTTTTTTTTCCCCCAGAGCTGCCTGGTCTGCACTGAGCCTCAGAAAAGGCATTGTTTTTTTGTGCCACTGACTAGGGGGGGAAACGGAAGAAAGAAGCCCTAGTACTTTATGCTCCTCCTTCATTCTGCTCCCTAGAGTTTGGCCACCTCCCCTGTCTCCTCGCTTCTCCCTTCCCCCGCTCTCACTTCCTTTTCCTCCTAGGGAGAGGCATGGAGGAGCCCAGTCTCAGCCTGTTAGCACAGCCAGAACATACACAGTTGTGATGCACCAGAGGGTTTCCGAAAGTTCTGGAAAGAATGGCATTGAAATGAGTTTGTTCTACTGCAGAAATGCTTGACCCGTGTAATACGCAAGGGCTTCAATAAGTTCATGGAAAATGCCTGATGGGAAAAACCATGTGTGGATTTCAGAAGTGTTTTTTCTCTCCTCCGTGCCCTCCGCCCCCCTCACCCTGGGAACTTTTTGAAGTTCTGTTAGATGTACTGAAAGGATGCAGCACTGCTAAATTTCCAAGGAGGTTGTCTGAATATTTGTTTGCTTGTTTTTCTCTTTTGTGGAATCCTGGACTGCCTTGTCATAGCCTGATATTAACATGCAAGGTAGGGGGAGTGGGCCTGTTTTGGCAGCTGTGGAAGAGGGTGTGGGGCTGGCTGCTCCCTGGGGAGCTGGAGTCCGGTGCTCAGCCGGCTTGGATCCTGTGGATTCACCCACTGCTGGTCTGACCTTCAAGAACAGTTGATCTCTGCAAGATCACTTGATGTCAACAAGACAGCTTGGGTGAATCTGGTAGTTGATGAGGGAGGTGCCCATGGTCCTTTCCTTCTTTCTGTTAATTAAAGGCCCAAGGGGAGTGCAGTGCAGTGCGGTTTTGGCCCTTAATGCCAAACCATGACTGAGTCACACACATTACCACCAATGGCTCAAGGTACTAATATTTTATCTATGCTTGGTGTTGTGTAGAATGTGAGAGCCAACCTCAAAGAGCATGCCAGTGTTATTTGAAGTACGGTTTTATGCAGTTTGCTGTGAAAATAATTGTTGATGCAAGGAGAAATGTAACAATGACTGAGAAGTCTGTGTGGCAACTGTCTTTTCAAAGAAAAAGAAACATAATGACTTTCAGATATGAACAACTTGAGTCCCTAGATATTGCCTGGAAGAACTGGAGCAGGTACTTGCTGAAATGAAAATATGGCAATGATTTGCCCTTAATGGATCCATTGAATATTTATGATCAAAGAAATAATGACAAATAGCAAGAAATTGAGAGCGTTTTGACTCTTGTGGGTAACTGTCACATTACCTCCCAGAATACCAGTGTGTTCGTTTGTTGGAAAGTTGGTTCTGGAAGGATGTTTTCCCAAGTGTTGGGTCGTGGGTGGTACGGAAGATAACTTCAGGAGAAATAGAGAATGGCTTTTTGAAACTGTAGTAACTCTGTTCATGTTTACAATTACTTTATCTTTCTGAAATGATACTGGATATCTGTTTATGGTTATAAGCTATATTTTATGACTGTTTTAACTTTCATGTTTTAATTTCTGAATCTATAGGAAAATTGAGTCCATGAAAGGAAAAAATAGTCGGTTCTTAGTAGCAAAACTGCGATTGAGATGTGGCAGAAGAACGGCTGGTATGGTACCCAGATGATGAACAGTTGTTATGCTCCAGAGCAGATGGTCAGGGCCTATGAGTTAAATGATAGTTTATGTGTGGTATATACAAGGGTACTTCAAAAGACGGAATTACAAGATAAGTTTATTCTACAAAAACAAAAACTTGAAATCCATGCATACGAGGGATCTTTAACAGCCTGTGGAAAGTTTTGTGTGAAAAAGCTGTATTGATTTCAAAAATTTCTTGCACAAAGGAAACAGCCTTTATTACTAAAATTAAAAAAAAACATTTTGAGGGGCATGGAGGTGGATGCACGGCGAAAAGAAGAGAGAGAGAGCGAGAGAGAGAGCAAGAGAGAGAACTAGAGGAAGAGATAGTGGATGAGAGAGAAAGAATCCACACTGGCCAGGGCTGGGCTACACTGGAGCCAGGAGCCAGGAAGTCGTTTCAGTCTCCCACCTGGGTGCTTAGCAGGAAGAGTCAGGAGCAGATCTGGGACTTGAATCAGGTGCCCTGTTGTGTGTGGTGGATGTTCCATTGGGAGCTTAGCCGCCAGACTAAACACTCAACCCCAATAGCTTTAAATTTCATTTTTTTTCTGTGATTTTTTTTAAAAGGTTTATCTTATTTTTATTGGAAAGTTAGATATACGGAGAGGAGGAAAGACAGAGAGAAAGATTTTCTGCCCGATGATTCGCTCCCCAGGAGGCCACAACTGCCAGAGCTGCACTGAACTGAAGCCAGGAGTCAGGAACTTCCTCTGTGTCTCCCACGTGAGTGCAGGGTCCCAAGGCTTTCCCAGACCATAAGCAGGGAGCTGGATGGGAAGCAGGGCTGCCAGGATTAGAACTAGTGTCCAGCACGTTCAAGGCGAGGACTTTAGCTGCTAGGCTACCGCGCCGGGCCCTCTACCCACATTATAAATGTTATAAGTGAGTTTTTTTTTCATTTTCTTTACTGTGCTTAATTCTCTTATGACTAACAGAGTGATGTTAATTTTAATGTGGGTTATGTTTGAACTGTCCAGAATTCTGCTCTGATCTTTATTAAAATAGTTGTATATTGTGTAAGACAGATATATTGCTCTGCTGCATGATATTGCAGTTGTGTGAATGTCTGAAAGTTAGGAGCCAGGAGCCTGCTCCAGGTCTCCCACGTGGGTGCAGGGTCCCAAAGCCTTGCTTTCCCAGGCCACAGGCAGGGAGCTGGAAGGGAAGTAGAGCAGCCGAGGCATGAACTGTCACCCGTATGCTATCCTGATGCATGCAAGGTGAGGACTTTAGAGACTAGGTTACTGCACCAGGCCCGGACTCATAACTCTTATATGACTATATTTGAAGAGAGAATAGATCTCAAAAGACTGTGGTCATTCTTTCTCCGCCAGGGTAATTGAACTCCCAGTTTTCCCCTTTGGAATTCCTGTGGCTTCAAATATGGCAGAACATCAGGGTCACTGGAGAGCGCTCTAAAGATGCAATGATAAGTGAGACTCGTCTCAAATCCACCAGGGATGAGATGTAGTCTGGCCTCAGTGTTGAGGACTTGTTGGATTAGGGCTGAGAGTCCTTGTGGGGGTGTACACGTGGGGCAGGATGTGCACTGCAGCTTCAAGAGCCCTTGTGACCTTGGCTGGAGCTACCTGTGTCCGATTAGCTGCAGCCACTGCCAAGGCACGTGTGCGCAGATGTTGAGAGGTGCCTTGGTAAGGTCTAGCTCATGGACCATCCGGATGCGACAACACTCAAGGAAACCAGAGAGGCTGCATCAGGGGATGTGAGGAAGGCAGCGAAAAAATACATCTTTTGTTGAAGATTTATTTATTTTTTTTATTGGAAAATCAGATATACAGAGAAAAGGAGAGGAAGAGACGAAGATCTTCCATCAAATGATTCACTTCCCAAATGACCACAGCAGCCGGAGCTGTGCCAATCCAAAGCCAGGTGCCAGGAACTTCTTCCACGTCTCCCACATGGGTGCTGGATCCCAAGGCCTTGGGCTGTCCTCAACTGCTTTCCCAGGCCACAAGCAGGGAGCTGGATGGGAAGCAGGACTGCCGGGAATAGAACTGGCGCCCACATGGGATCCCGGTGTGTTCAAGGCAAGGACTTTAGCCACTAGGCTGCCGTGCTGGGCCCCCCAAACACATCTTTTAAGTGGAAGGCGCAAGGCTGCATCGTTTAGCAAATGGCTGGAGGCAGTCTGTTCTGACTGGGAGAATTTGGCCAACTGTGTTTGAATGTGCCCTCCTATGTTTGATGGTAGCGTTAGCTCTGCAGTGTAAGGAAGCAGTTGGTAACCTCCTAGTGCACTTCCTGTTTCTAAGCCCAGGTCCTCTGTTGCTGGGGTCCGTGCAAGGACACGACGGTGTGAAGTGAACTGTTTCATAGCAGACCAGGCCGTAGGAATTTCCCGCTGCATGGCAGGGCCGGGCGGTTGTCTTTGCAACCACCTGAAGGCAGTTCCACCTCCCTTTGCATGGACACTGGACCACCCCGCTGAGAGTTCTGTAATCTATTGAGGAATTATTTGCTTTGGAGTTGGTTTTTCCTATCAATGGGAGCTTGGAAGTTGATGTTGCTGGTAACACCTTGCAAAAGGGCCTTTTCCGGTTCCTGCTGTCTGTTTCTGCTGCCCCCACTGACCATCCTTGATCTTTAAGTCCCCCCTGTGATGCATTTCCTTCCTTAACTGATTCAGGATGAAGTCGTAGAATGAGGATTGAAGTAGGAATGTATTACTGATTGATATGTACCATCTATTGAGAGCTCCCTGACCACAGGGTCAGGATGGATAACATCTTGCTTTAAAGTGAAAGAAACTGTGGAATTATCCTTGAAAACACCTACTTGATCATGACGTAAAAAGTCTGTGCCAGAGCTTGTGGCTGCTTCTGTATAAATAAAGGGACAGCTTTCTTGCATTGTCCATTTTGATCATGAAATCATAGTGGTCCATTTCTTTCCTCTTTATGCCTATTTGACACACCCTTCTCGAGTTCTGAACTTGGCTGGAGCTGGATTCCGGCACTCTGTAGGCTCATTTCATGGCTCCTATCAACTTTTGGAAACAAGCGTGGTTTCTTGAGGTTAGCATTTGCTGATTTGTTTTGATGTGTTCTTTCTGGACTTCCCTCTTGCCATTCCTCTGTCCACACACATTACTCCAGCCACGCCCATTGTGTCACCTCACAGGCACATCTCATTCTTAGCCATTTGTCATGACTCTGTTCTCATTCCTGATTTGTGGCATAAATTCCCTTCGCCTTTAGTCATTTTTGGGTCTTGAGGCCCAGTGCCAGTTATATTTCCAGTTACCAGTAGGAGAGAGAAGGCCTGATGCCACAAAGACTGTGCCCTGTGCATTTATTGCCTTGGTTGGAAGATGAGAACCTTGAGAAAAAAAAATGCACCTCTTTTTCCCTCCCAGGAAGATGGAATGAGATGATGAATGTCAAGGAGCTTTGAGAACAGCAGCATACTGTACTCATCTAAGGATATTCTTTGGGAATTAATCATGGTCTGACCTGCAACTGTTCCTGTATTGCTGTCGTATAAACGCGGTTCACCTGCCGTATTGTTGTACGTTTTTTCTCCATCTGTCCTGAATCTAAGCTGACCTTCTCTTTCATTTGTAATTACCTACTTAGGAAGATGCTGTTCATTATGAAATAACACTGTAAAAGAGATGGACAGAATTGGTTCCCAAATTCAATCACCTTAATTCTACTTTTCTCCATCGTCTTTCCATGCTAAGTGCCTCTTTCAGGGTAAGCACGTTTACCAGATAGACATGCACATATACGCTTATATCCATGTCTCCAGCCTGTAGTCCTGTTCAGAGTGCTGTCAGGAGGAAGCTGCCTTTTGCTGTTAAGGAAGTCTCACTCACTGTGTGCAGTTTGTGCACTATGCAGAATGCATTGCTGGTATTTAGTAAATACTGCTGGTTGTAATTAGCACCAGTAGTTGTATTCCAGTGTTAGAAGATGCAAACTCCAGGGGTGTGTGTGTGTGCAGATGTAAATGTGCAGAGTCCTGAAGTTTTTTCTATTTTTGGATAAACATGGACAGAAAAACACCTGTGTGACATTGCTCCTCCTCCAGCCTTTATTGCTACCTCCTGTTCTCTGAACGGTGCTAAATCATTCTGGATTTTCTCTTCTGAAGATGATCCAGTGAGTTGGCTTGTGTTTGGACAACAATTCTTTAGCAGGTGCAAACAGGGGGAGGCATCCCACTTCAGAATTAGGTCGATACGGGGCCACAGTTCGCCTCTGTCACTGAATAGCTGTGTTATTCAGGTGTGTAGGTTGCTTCACTTGTGCATCTTTTTCTATAGATGCAGTCGTAGTTTATGTTCAAGAGCCTAGCATAGTGCATTCAGTAATTTGTCAACATTCTCCCTCTCCGTTTCTTCTTCAAGTTTTTACTTTGTTATACCAGCATTAGCTCCCTTTCCTGCCATGCTGTGTTATCCGTGTTCATGATGGATGTGAGGTGTGCTGCCATTGTGACCAGTTGGAACTGGTACATACTCAGATCAGGCCTTCTAGAAGCACCTGTGCATAACATCAAGAGTGCATATCACCTGACCCCTGGAAGGACAGTTGGTTTGTCATAGATTGGCCTAGTCATGTTTTATTAGGAAAGCCAGTTATTTTCACACTTGACCTCAGACTTAGTTGTATTCCGAAAGGATAATTCTGAGTGAATTGTATCCACTGCAGGATAAAATATGCAACGTTTAGTTGCAGATGTAAAAACCCAGTGGTCTTCTGTGTAAGACCTTACTTGTGGCAGAGCGTCTTGTTGCAAAGTTTCAGCCTCAATGGTGAAGTGAGTGCAGGTGGCTGTCAGGTTGAGGGCTTTGCGCACGGTAGCTTGGCTCTGCGCTGGGGCTGGGGATTGGGCTTCTGAGGCCTGCAGCATGGTGGCTTTCATTTATCCTCTGCATGGTCTTTGGGAAATGGAAGTGCTTCCTGGAGATTGACGTCTCACAGGGCTGCTCCTCCAATCTCACTACCCATGGGCTTGTTCACTTTGCTTTTCTTTCTGTTTTGCCAGTTTTGAATTGTGTTTTTTTTTTTTTTGAGACCTGATGCAACTCCCATTCCTTCTGTCCATCCTTCCCTTAGAGTCCCATTGGAGGGACCCTGGGTTGGCTGTTAGAGTAGCTGCCGGTTAGGTGTTTTGTGTGATAATGATTTCTTATGACTGATGTATCTTCTGTTGCCATTTTAAACTCTGACATTGAACTTTGTGCTTATCCTTTTTTATTTCTTTAAAACCTGTTTGTGCCCTATTATTCTTTCTGGGCTCAGTCCAGAGTAGCTGCTGAGAGCTCCTCTGTTGGTGGGATGTAATGAGTGACTTATGTCCCCATCACCTGTTCCTGATCTCTCCAGAAGATACCCTCTTTATATTCCTGTGCACTCTGTTGGTACATTGGACAGCTGTTGGCCCAACACTCACAGCTACCCTTGCTGAGTGGTGAAGGCAGGTTTGTGCTGCCTGAGAAGGCAGAGTGACCTGGCATTGCTGTGTGTTCCTTGGGTGTCATAGGCCGTGCATGTGTGTGTTTCTTGCTCCCCTGGGAGTGTGCTTACTCTGGCCACTGTTAGCTAAGGGAGAGGCTCTTCTGAGATACTCCTTGGGACCCTGATCACGTGCCCTCACCTAGGGACGATGGAAGGCTGGGCTGTCTGTGAGTCAGAATTAGGGGACTGAGGGAGATGAAGGCCAGGGGTCTTTCCTTCTGTGTGGGCTGGCAGGCCATTTCCTACTGGCTGATTCCATGTCTTTGTGCTTCTGACTTCCATGGTTCATAAGGATTTTAGCTGTTTGTCTAAAACACATAAGCTAGGGGGTCCCAGCATCTTGAAATGCATCCATCCAACAGCAGCTTGTTCATGTAGGCAATTGCCTATAACTCAGGCAAAATTCACCTGTTTCAATTTTATGCAGTGATGAATTGATTTTCAAAAAGAACCTGTGTGTGTGTGTGTGTGTGCGCGCGCGTGCGTGTGTGGTTTGAGAGGATTTGAACTGTGTTATGTTGTTATTTTTAGGGGTAAATTTAAAAAATTTCACACTGGTCCTATAGGAGGAGATCAAATTTATTGTGAATTTGAGAAAGTGTAAATTCAGAATGGGCAAAGGTAGAAATACAAAATTAATGTTCTTTTCTAGTGAATGAACAGGAATGAAAAAAAAAAAAAACAAAGCCTACGAGGGCCTGAATGAAAGAGCCCCAGGACTTGAAGTGTTTCTGCACCCAAACGGTGTGCATGTGTGCGGGTTCCTTCTCCCCTGGCCGCCAGCAGTGCCCCCGTTGGGAGCAGGCCGCTCTGCGTGTTAGCCTTGTCTACAGCTTTCTGCTTTTCTGCAGAGTCCTGTGTTTGCAGCTGCGATTGCAGTCGCTACCAAGTGGCTCACCTTGTCTCAAGTAATGAGAATAAACAACTGGTCACTGCACTGACCACTGAAACTAATAAAGATATATAGTGCCGGGCCGGCTCAGGGAGTCACAGACACATTCTTAAACTGCATGTGACGTTTCTTCCAAAGGAACATGATTCCAGACTCACTCACTGCTTACCCATTCTGAGAAAGAACAAACTATTTGACTGATGGTTTGCTAAATTTAATATGCTTAGCAAGTAAAATTATGGCCTACTCTAATGCTGTGTAATTATTAAGATACACTGCTTTTAAAAATACCAAGTGAATAATATTGATTTACTGAACTGCTATTTAGAAAAATGCCAGCAAAGGAGGAATATTTTATTTTAGCTGCCTTAGAGCTGTAATGGGTCTGGGCTCAGATATGCATGTGGAAATAAATTATGTACAAGGTAAACTATTTTGTTATACAGTACCCATAATATTAATTAAGCCGTAATTTTACCAACAATGCTTTAATTTAACAAATAAACAGGAATCATCTGTACCATTCTTTCAAATATATAACTTTGGGACTGCAATAAAACATGCAGAAGCACCTGTAGTTAATTGTAAAGCAAACAGTGAGACTAGCAACTTTAAAGGGTAATTGTAATTTATAATTTATTTATTTGACTTATGCTGGATATAATTACCGCTATAATGCGTTATTATTTTCAGTCCGGCTTTAGATCTATCTGATTGCAGCCATACACAAGCAGCCTGGCGGAGCTGCCTCCTCAGGCCCTTGGAAAGTGTGCTTTGCCCCCCTGTTGGCCTCAGAATGGGCACTTGTAAAATAAAAAAGAATGGATGGGCTACTGTCAAAGACAATCTGTGTTCAAAGCAGTAAGAATCTTCTCGTTTCCCTAAAAGTCCAGATGTCGCCCTGTCCCCTTGTTGCTTCGCGTTGCAGCGTGGTGCGTGGATGCCGTTAGGGGTGCCTGTGGCCAGCATCCCTGGCAGAGAGGGCCGGGCTGGCGGTCCTGCGGGAGAGGGAGGCCGCAGGGGAGGGCTGCTGTAGAGACGCCGCTCTCCCTGCAATCCCTGTGTGAGGGTTGCCTGTGTTTATTGTTGTGTTGCTTGCCAGGCTTTGTTGTTGTTATTTTCAGGAGCAGCCTGCAAGCAACAAGGCGGGCGAGGAGGAAAAAAATACCACCACGGAAGAAAAGAAGCAATTATAGCAGGCTGTTTGTTTGTGGCTAACAGAATGCTGAAATGGCAGATTTGCAAATTTGTAAGAGAGGGAAGCTTAGTGTTCATCTTTATCAGCCAAAGTGGTTTCTTGTTAGCTGAGCAGCAAGCTAGAAAGCGACCAATTTTGACAACATAATTTACATCTTTGTATAAAACTATTGCTGGCAGCCGAACTAATTTGTGCTGGATTAGGTTGTTTGTCTCTGCTGCTGACTAACCATGCAATCTATCAGCGGCCGTTTTCAAATATCACTTCTCAACTGTGCCCTTGAGAGGGGGAATTGATCGGGAATATACGGAGCAAAATGACTCCAATAACTTTATAGAAGAAACAATTACGGAATCATACAGATGTGAATAATTCTGAAAAGGAGAAGCAAATATAATGAATTTAGCCCTGTTCCTATCTTTCACGTGTGCATGAAATGTATAAATAACACAGCAGAAACATGATGGGCCTTGTTTCCTTCTTTGCTGCCTCCCAGTCGATGATGGAATTGGGAGAAAGAGCAGGAAGAGAATTGAGGGGAAAATAATCCTTAATGACCATGTTGAAGGGTCTTGGGGTACAGGTTACCTGAAGGTCACTTACAAGGTGTTGGAGATAACAGTGAGTCTGTACAAGTCTCAGAGAATGTGTCCTTTGATGCAGTGTAGGTTTTACAGGTTTTAAAATAAAAGGTTGTGATGGAGAAAAGAGACATCCTTCAGGCCGATACGTTCATGTTACCAACGTAGATGATAAACATGCGTGTATATTTTATCACCTATTCCTACATTCTATTAATAATTTCACCATGCAGAAGAGGAATGGATTTTCTCTTCTATTTTTAAGTGAATATTTTTGATATTTCTGCTTGTCCTCAAGGGAGATACAGGATGATGGAATAATACAAAGGGGCCAAAAAAGGAGGGGAGTGGAACTTGCAGCTGATAACCAGGCTGGAGTTGTTCAGAAGATGCCTGAGATTAGCCAGCAAACAAAAAAACCATTAAGCACCTATTATTTTAAAGCAGTGGGCACATTTTTCATCACTTTCCTCTGATAAATTTTCACTTGTGCATCCTCTCCAGGTAATTAATTGCTTTCAGTTCAGAGGAGTAATAATGCAATAAATTATGCCAGTATTTCTAGTCAGAGGCTCGTACTGCTGCTCCCTAACCAAGGCAGCATTCATATCAATCCAGGGGACTTCCAGGCTGCAGAAAAGCCCTATTAATATAAATTGGCTATGTAAAGAGTCAGAGGCCCAAGTCTTGCAAAATTGCTCTTCTGTGATGTCCCTCCAGGAGGACTGCACGTTCATAGCTTTGGGAAGGGTCCTCTGGGATCGCAGAGCCCTGGAGACTTTGGGAACAACATCCTCGAGCAGGGATGGTGGTTCCATTGCTTGCTCGGCAAGGACCTTTCCCAAGATGGTAATAATGGCATTGCTGATGCTGAGAAGTGTCGCTTGTGTGTTGAGTGCTCAGCCTGTGAAGCACTTTCTGGACACTGTACATTCACCAGCTGTGCCTGCACTCCAGCTTCCAATAGAGATGAGGAAACTGAGACACAAAGAACCGGGGTGAGTTGTCACCTTGATCCAGGAGCCAGGAGTCACACCGGGGCACGAGGTTGCAGAGTCCACAGCATCTCAGGAAAAGGGTTCTCCCTGTCTCCAGGCTGGATTGCTCTATATCAGGGATGGGTTAGAAGCACAGGGAACCAAGGATGTGTCACCTGTTCTGGAAAAGTGACTTTATGTTTTCTTTGATTATTTATCTGGGTGAGCACACCAGGTTGCTCATCTTCCAAAAAACTTCTTTTTCTCTAACCTGTAAATTTCTTGCTATCATCGGTTGACTCTTCTGAAATAACAATAATAGTAAAAAGGTAGCACAGACATCTGGTTACCCTGCTTTCTGTAAAAGCCTTCAGTAGCCCCTCAGCTTGCATCCCATCTCCACCAGGTTCTTTTTCAGTTACCAGCTTGAC